GGGGGGGGGGGGGGGGGGGGGGGGGGGGGGGGGGGGGGGGGGGGGGCAGAGGTAAGCTGTGCTGTCGTGCATCGACAGCAACCAACCAAACCGCGAGAGAGAACGGGAGAGACAAGAATGCGGAAAGAAAGTGCAAAAAAAAAAAACGAGCAGGGAAGCCACCATCAAAGCGTCAGGCGAGAGCTCGGGCGCGGTTGGATGGGAAGGATGGAGTCGCGCAATACGGCGAGACATGGCGACTATTCCAGAAGTTGATGCCGTTCACGTTTCTTTGTTTGCCACAGCAACATGGTGCGAAAGCTTGCGGTCTATCAAGGAACAAATCTACCGAACACGGAGAGAGAGACAGGAGGGCAGGAAAGAGAGATCCCCAAAAAAAGCGACGACTAATTTTTTTGCGACCATTTTCTGCAACAGACAAAACAAGATCGTCACGCACGACAAGGGCAGGGCCGTTGTTACGCTAGCAGGACTGCGTCTCGGTGCAAGTGCAACGCTAACCAGTGGCGTAGCTCCTCGTTGCTTCTGCGCCTCACGCGTGGAGACTCAGCCGATGTTCTGACAAGCAGCTGCTTTAATATCCCCTCTTTTCACCTGTGCCTGCGCTTCCTCCGCGAATTCCACGAAGCAAAAATCTTTGCCCTCCGGGATGGCCACGTCCGTGATGTTCCCGTACTGTGAGCACGCGTCGCGAACGTCCGCCTCCGTGGCTGTCGTGGCAATGCCCTTGATGTAGATCGTGCAGGATGCGAACTCCGCCATGGTTGGTCAGTGGCTGGTGCTGCTGCTGGTGCTGCTGCTTGGGGTGCCGTTGTATTTGCGCGGGGTTGTTGCGATGAGCTGATATTTTAGGAGAGCCGGAGGAAAGAAAAACCGAGCAGCAAGATCGAGCATTGTGAGCGACGGACAACAGGCACCCACGAATTCGCCCGAACACAGACGGGCAGCAGCTCCACGACATGGCAACATCAGAGGAGGAACTGACCGACGCCGAAAATCTTGATCAGAGAACAGAGCGGAGGGCGTTCCAACCCTGCGATCTACACAGCACAGCGCTGGCTGAAACGAAAACCAGCGCTTCTGCTGCTGTGTGAGGCGCTGCTTCATTGCCGAGCGGTATATTTTGTCAATGATCCGAGGTTCGGCTTGCTCGAGTACGATGCTTCTGCAACGCTGGTGGATGCCGGTATCGTAGGGATCCAAGCCAGGTTCGACTGGACAGCGTCTTCCCTCACCTATTAGCTGTCGCGGAAAGTGCCTTGTGGGGGTAGCTCTCTCCATGGATTACTGAAGAGCTGGGGGGCCCGCAAATGGTGGAGACCCTCCTGAAACTGTTGTGCGTCTCCCCCGAGTTGAGTGGTCGCAGCCTATGTATTTGACTAAAACAATCAAGCATTCCAGAATATCTGTCGTTGATTTCTATTGACCTGCGGACCCCTCGGGGCCATATTATTTGAGTGTACCTTCTTAGGGTAAGTTAGCTTGCGACCACGGGAATCGACCGCGTCGAGTGTTGTATCAGTACGGACATGCGAAGGTACTGGGTAGAGAGAGATCGGAACTGTTTTTATTGTGAAGACAATAATAACAACAATAATACCATGGATGGGTCGCAGCTGGAGCCAATGGTATGACAAAAACAATCAAGCAAGCTTGTTGTTGCATTTTATATTTTTTTCTCCTATCATTGGACTCTGTCGTCTGCCCCTCTGGCCACTATCCTCCACTTTTACCAGCGAGACGACCCAACCGGGGTCACATAAGAGCGGGGGTTGGACCCCCTCCTGCGGTTCCTATCTGAGAGAGATATTTTATCGCGAGAAGGGTACAACAATCCCTTCCCTCGCGATTGATGAAGTCGATCAAGTTTTTTACTAACAACGAACTTTGCAGCGCGTCGCTTCCAACGGAGACCAGGATTTCATTATTAGCGAGAAAAAACTCACTCTGTCGGGACTCGAACCCAGGACCTGGCCCTTAGCAAGCTGCGAGGCTACCCTCTAGACCACCGGGGCGTTTATACCACCATTGGGTGGACACAACCAGCAATACGGAACATGCATGGCATATGTGGTGCATGCTGCCCAGCCTCGCAGCAGCAGCAGCAGTCCGACTTAAAATCACCTGCTATATAATACATACATACCCTCTCAACAATGGGTTTCACCCTGTTAGCCTGTCGTATTATTAATACGAACGACATGTATAATATAGTCAAGTAGACTATATTCAAGGCGCAAACGTCTCGAACAAACGAGGAACAACGTTTGCTGTGGTGTAAAGTAAGACATATATTATAATTCATTTAGTTGTACACTACTACTCTTGTACAGGTACATACATCGTGTACAGCAGTGCCCCCGTCCCGCTCGTTCGATCGTACGCAGACCGGTCGCCGGTCGCCCTGGTGGTCTACAGTGTAGTTGGTATCTTCAAAGCCTTCTAGAAGTAAGTCAGGTCAGAGGTGGTTCGAATCCCGGCGTAAGTGACCTTTTCTTCCAACGTGAGTTTTTCTCTCGCTTCCGCTCCTGACCTAGTGGATAGCGCTATTTCGTGTGTACACAGAGGGAAGAGAGTGCTGAACTCTTCTCGCATTAAAAATCGAAGGCAAACAAAGTACCGCAGGAGGGGAAGGTAGAGAGGGGCTCTTCTGTCTGTGTGGTGACCAGGGGTTGGTTGGAGTAAACGGCACCACCAGTGCTGTGAGCGCTGATATGAAGTGAAGACAAAAAGAAAAAATAATGCCTAGGTAGGAGGCGTCGCCTATAATATATTATAATATAATATATATCCGCATATAATGTAAGTATATATTTCCAAGAAAAAAAGGGCCACAAAGCCCTGGTCTATCTCTACGACTAAGATAAGTTTCCCACCTACCTACCAATTTACGGAGTGAGTGTGTGTCGGAGGCGGGACCCAATTCCCAATTCCGTGTTTTTTCACCACCACGTTGTTATTTTTTGACTCGCTTCATTCAATATCGGAGCGATTATTTTGGTGTTTCTTATTATTATTATACCGGGAATGTTCGACGATGTTGTAGACTAGTAGTAGTACGGACAGACGAAGGTACTGGGCAGAGAGATCGGAACGGTTCTAAATGTATGTGAAGACAACAACAAAAAACAAAAACAACAACAACAGCAGCAGCAACAACTGTAACAACTGTTAACAACAACAACAACAACAACAACAACAACAACAACAACAACAACAACAACAACAACAACAACAACAACAACAACAACAACAACAACAACATCAAACAACAGCTTGTTATTATGCGTACAATGAGTAAGGCACCGAAAAAAAATGTATATTTTTTTCCGTTTTCTTCTCGGTCTTGTCGTGAACGGGCCAAACACTGCTGCTATCTGTGCGAATACTTCCCACAGGACTGAAAGTAAGTGTGCAATCTACGTTGTTACCTACGAGTATAAATAGAAAAGATTACGCCCGCCTCTCCGCGAGCGGGGTGAACAAAATGAACGTCATCACACAGACAGACAGACAGGGAGCGGCGCACACACAGTTAGTTCCCCAACGTCTGTTTTTTTTCACATCTAATTAATTGGCGTCGATGATGAAAAGATGTCTACGATAAATGGTGGGGGTAACCCGGGTTCGATTCTCGCCACCCATTTGGTTTCTCCTCTCACTACGAAAATATGAATTACAAAGGGAACCTGATTGATGATGATGATGATGGGGGAACGACAACAAAAAACAGTTAGTTTTAGTGACTGTCAGAACTGTACGTAGTAAGTAGCTGATGAGGACCCTCAACGATGACTTGGCGGAGGTGATTGGCCCGCGTTCACAGGAAAACATGCACAGAAGACAGAGGACCGAAGACGGAATGTAGTCGATTCGCCGCCAACCAATCATCAGCTTTGGTTACCGTGAGGCAGAAGCCTTCTTCCGTAGCAAACAAGACCAAGGGTTACATCAAGCTGCCAACTGCAGAAGACGATTGATTCCTTCTGTTAGAACAAACCTGATTTCTTGACCCCAAGTTCTTAAGTGGTGGCGCTAGTAGCCTTTGTCCGTTACAAGAGCACTTATAAGTAGTTTTACATGAAGTGCACGCACACTCACTACACAGCAGTACGAACTTGATAAAAGCTAGACTACCGGTCAATAATTCAAAAAGTTGCGCCAACCAATATTGACTCTTTATGTCCGTGTTGATTTCCCCATGTACAGGAGAAATACGGAGCGAACCTCGCGGCTAAATAAAGTAAGCAGCAGCGTGACGCGTACGGTACAGATAACGCCACCGTTTCTAAGAAGGTTGACAAGGCTCGAGTTTTGCAAAACATTGCAATTATGAGAATCATCACCGCAATGGACAACACTCAAGCGTCCAGGAGGTCCTAAACTAGTTAAATCTTGCCATCAAAAAATATTCTGAGTGGGTGGTGAGTGCAAACTGCGTGCGTCAAGTGTTTATTTTATTTCATTCTTCATGTCACAGCTACAGCAGTAGACTATAGATACGTAGATAGATGTGTATCCGTTTGACAGCAAACTGTTCTCGTCGCTCGAAACGCCCCGCAAAAAGGTACGCTCGAAACGCCCCGCAAAAAGGCATGTTTGCGTTGTCCTGTTGTCCTGCATGTATTAGAACTTTCTTCTCCGTCGTCTTCTATCCTATTGTTGTTGTTGTTGTTGTTGTCTTCACAATAAAAACCGTTCCGATCTCTCTCTACCCAGTACCTTCGTATGTCCGTACTGATACAACACTCGACGCGGTCGATTCCCGTGGTCGCAGGCTAACTTACCCTAAAAAGGTACACTCAAATAAAATGGCCCCGACGGGTCCGCAAGTCAATAGAAATCAACGCCAGATATTCTGGAGTCCTCCACTCCCTCTGCGCGCTATGCGAGGTAACAACTGAGACTAGGGGTCATCATCACGGGCCGGAGAGAATGAGGTATACCCCCTTGATTCAATCTTGGTACTTCACAACGCAAGCAGAAACAAGGAAGGCCATCTAGCACAGAAAAAGATAGAAAAGAGAACAAGAGAAAAAGAGAAGAAAATAAATGGAAACAGCAAGGAAAGAGAAAATGAAATAAAACGAGCGAGGACAAAAAGGGACCAGGCCGAAAATAACAAGAAATAAGAGACAGAAAAAGGCACACGGTGGAGAGACCACTAACGACAAGCAAACACGCAAACATGGCCACCAACCAGCGATACATTGTAGTGGTACGTCATCACTAGTGGGGGGTTGGTGCAATGGTGAGCGTTGGGGGGGGGGNCAAGAAATTCAATCCGGCACGTACCGCGCCACTCGGTCCTTCTCTTCTCGTTTTCTTTTTTCCCTCGCCGTCTCGTCCGTCTCCTGCCCCCCTCCCGCCCCATTGGTTGGTGGCTTGTGGTTTCGTTTGAGCGCC